CATAGTTGCTTCACATCCCCTTGGTCTTTGGGCTCATTTTGACAAAGAAGTTATAAGTCGAAGTTCATAAAGGACCTTGCTTTCTTGGAAAACCACCTATTTCAACCCAACTTTCAATCAATCTTTTAAAAAAACAGTTGTTACTTTGTGGGTCCCATTTTGTTTTTCCCATTTGAAAAACACTCACTTTCTATAGCTCCTCAGGAGCTCGGGGAAATCCAAATTGAACTTGTCTTTTTAAGTGTTTGGGCCTAGGATATACCAGACCATGTTACTCTCTCTAAATGTGTTTTGCAAGTTGGCCTTGTGGATCCTTGAAGTTGTTTTACATGTATCAGAATTTATAAAAGTTTTAACTGAGAAATAATGCTAGTATCGCTTTATTTTTACGCTTTAAATTTCATTGTAATTGGATTTAAGAGGAGAGATGAATATGACTCCTTGTCCTACCATCTTTTTTGGGTAACATTTCAAAAGGTTTTGTTAATACAGAAGAGTTTCTATCATACAGACTTATTTTTTTTTCTTTGATCCAAGAATAATCAAGAGTTTTCTTGATTTGTGGTGGTGGTGGTTATTGTTTTAGTTTCTAAGTATTCTACCAAAGTATTTATATATGACGTTATGTGATATCTGAGAATTGCTTTAAAAAATCTGAGAGAGATTTGATTATGAGGATGGGTAATTGTGGTTGAGATGAAAAGAGATTGACCATGAATTGATATCTGTTAATAGATACTATTGTACTAGTCTCTATATTTTTGCGTATGGGTTTGGAATTTTGCATAAGAAAAAGTTACTTCTAATTTTACAAGGATTTGATTTCTTCTAAGAAAGAAGTTTCTTGAATTGAATTGTGGTTAGAAAATGTGCTCTCAGGCCAAGTGTGGTGGCCCACACCTGTAATTCCAACACTTTGGGAGGCCGAGACAGGCAGATAACAAGGTCAGGAGATCAAGACCATCCTGGCCAACATGGTGAAATGCCATCTCTACTAAAATACGAAGAATTAGCCAGGCATGGTGGTGCATGCCTGTAGTCCTAGTTACTTGGGAGGCTGAGGCAGGGGAATCGCTTGAATGTGGGAGGCGGTGATTGTTTTGCACCAATGCACTCCAGCCTGGCAACAGAGTGAGACTCCTTTTCAAAAAAAAAATAGGAAAGAGAGAGAAAAGGATCCTATATAACATATAATTTTAAATTTATTGTAGTTTTCTGTGTGAATTGATATAGGATCAGTTTTTAAATTTCCATTGAGATTCTAAAAGAAGGTCATTACGTGTCCAATAAATCAATCTTCTTAGTGATAATATTCAAGTCTTCTGTAACCTAATTTATTATTTTGTCTGCTTAATCTGTCAGGTATTGTAAGAGATACGTTAAATTTCCCTGCATTCACTGTGATAGTACTCATATTATCTGATGCTGTTTTGAATGGACTCTTTCCGCCATTGTATCAATCACATTTAAGCTTTCTGGATTATAGTATTTTACCAGTTTTGAGTTAAATATGTAATGTACTAGGTAGATCACTATAGGAGCTCAGCAAATACTTGTTTGAATACTATGTTAACTATTCAAAGTTATGTCATTGATTTTTGAGGAGAAAGAGAAATGCAGTCTAGCATTTGTACTTTAATGAGTGAACATGGTAGATCTGTTGATGTGTAAACTCAAGGTCATGTTAGAGAATTAAATCAGAACACTTGCACTTTGAAATGTAACTTTGTATTTTAGCTGTGTTCTCTGGTTTGTTAATACTTTTTGGTTTTTAGAAGTATAACTGAAAAACCAGTTTTTTATGCTTATTTATTGAGAGGGTGCCAAAATCTTTTTGCATTTCAGTTGGAAATATTTAATAATGGCAGTGAGAACAAGTACTGGCCTTCAAGCCAGGGAAATAAACATTTCAGAATTATAACAGCCTTAATCATAAATTTCTGAAGATTGGAATCGTGCAAAGAATCTGTTGGAAGAATAGCGTTAGACAATTACAAGGGACCAGAAATGATGTATTTTTAAAACCTTATGAAACTCTGAATTATATAGGGTTTTATGTATACAATAATATATATGGTTTATAATGAGTATATAGTGTTGTCAGTTCACTCTACATCTCTATGTTCCATTTCGGGTGTTCTGGAAGGGACGAGGTCAAGTTTATAGCCTTTCTTTACTAAAAAAGGTTGCTTTCTTTCCCGACGGTGATGAAAAATCTGTGTGTGTGTGTGCATGGGTAAATTTTTTTTTTTGAGATGAAGTCTTGCTTTGTCACTCAGGCAGCTGGAATGTAGTGGCACAATCTTGACTCACTGGACTCCCGGCCTCCCAGGTTCAAACAATTCTTGTACTTCAGCCACCTGAGTAGCTGGGATGACAGACATATGCCACCATATCTGGGTAATTTTTGTATTTTTTTAGTAGAAATGGCGTTTTGCTATGTTGGCCAGGCTGGTTTCGAACTCTTGGCCTCAAGAGATACACCTGCCTCGCCTCCCAAAGTGCTGGGATTACAGACGTGAGCCACCGCACCTGCCCTAAAAAACATGTAAATTTTAAATATGCTGTACTAAATGATGAATAACAAACTTATGAAGAGTATCCTAAACCTATTATTTAGTGGTATGATTTTGATTTATAAATTCTAAATCTTCGATGTTATTTTGATTAGATAACAGTTATTTCATAAAGATTATTTATCTGTAGTCTGTTTTAACCATTCCAAAATGAAGTTCAAACAATTCTGAAAGATTGTACTATCTAAAATACCTCCATGAATACTGTTATCCAAGTGATTCTACATGACATATATTTTCCTTCATTTACAGAAAAGATGTCACATAAATTTTGAGCAGCTGTTTTTCCAATTTGCTTTTTATGTCTACATTTATATATTTTTTGTTCTATTATATCTGCTTTAGCAATTTAAAAAGAACGAGTTTGATTCATTTACCTATTTAAGTCCATTGTGGGTTTATACTAGAGAGAGACTATCCCTTTTTTATAATCTTTTTGTTCTGTTTTATGTTTTTAGACTGTAAATTTTATCTGCAAGGAACATACCCAGAGTCAGGTTGAAGTGTGTACACTTACCTACCGTTTTCAGTGCTCAAGGATTATATTTGTATATATGTCTCTGCTTCAGTATGCTTTATCTACAACCATAAAGAAAATATTGGATTCATTAGCTATCAAGCTACCTGCTAGGAAAGAGTTTCTTGCTCAGATTAGGCTTATGTGGGGAACTTGGAAATAATGGAAAGGGACAGTTTAATTCTTTTCCAGGCTCAAGGATGTGAATTTTTGTACCTCGTAAAGCTGGAAGGGGAAAACGAGGAATGATAATGATTTTCCATGCCATTAGTTTTTATATTTATAAAATTATAGCTTCCATTCATCCCTCCTTGAAATTTAAGATTTGGTGCTAAAAATAATACTTCCAAGATAATCTTATGTGTTCACTGATACCCATCTCCTTTACCTCAGGTATTTTAAAAAAGCAGAGGGTAGGTACTGCTGAACTTTTAAAGTAGCTCCAAATGGACCTACCACCTGGCTAGATCAGGAATGGAAGGATTGATCTGTAAAATAATCACATGTAGAACTTTTCTTTGGTAAATGTAAGTTCGTATATATCAATTAGTTTAACTTCCTTTCTGTGAAGTATAGTAACAACTAGTTTAGAATACAGTGTTGTGTTTGACATGGTTTTGACCAATTGTTTCCCTGTTTTAAAATCACATCTTATTTGGGAATCTTAGTATAAACTGGTAGATGATGAGGTATCATGAATTTGAAAATTCAATCCTGGTTAATATTAAGATTGTTTATACTCAGTAATGGTGATATAGTGGGGGGTACATTGTCTTATAAATTGGTCGAAATGTCTTAGGCATAATACTTTTGGATTACAGTTTGACTATATTGATGTCTAAAATGAGTATACCTTTCTAATATCTAATAAGAGAAAATATTCAAACAAGTGTACAGATTAAGTTTATTGCAGAATGATTTGTGATACCAAAAAACAAAACTGAAAATGCCCTAAATGTATTGCTAGATAACTACTTAAATTATAATGTATCAATAGGATCAAATACTATATAGCTGTTACAAAAGAATGAGGTAGTGCAATATGTATTGGTATATTTAGACCTTTAAAATTTATTATTAAATAAAGATATTCTTGGAAAATATACTCAGGTTTGCATGTGAACCAGTGGTTATTGCTGATAAGTGAATTTTAGAGTCCAAGGGTTAGAGAATCTTCTAATTTTCACATGGTTTTCATGACCATATGTAATTATTTTTTTAATGCCTTTTTTCTAGCTTACATATAAGTGTTTTTTTTCATCCTGTATTTAAAAAAAATTTTTAATATTTTTATTATGCTTTAAGTTCTGGGATATATGCGCAGATCGTGCAGGATTGTTAACATAGGTATACACATGCCATGGTGATTTGCTGCATCCATCCACCTGTCATCTACATTAGGTATTTCTCCTAATGTAACCTCTCCCCAAACCCCCCACCCCTGACTCTCCCTCCCTTAGTTCTCCCACTGCCCAACAGGTCCCAGTGTGTGATGTTCCCTTCACTGTGTTCATGTGTTCTCATTGTTCAGCAACCACTTACGTGTGAGAACATGCAATGTTTGGTTTTCTGTTTTGTGTCGGTTTGCTGAGAATAATGACTAAATATAATTTTTACAGATAAAGGTACTATTCAACTACTCATCTACATGTAGTTGACATCTGATAATTCTCATTTTTATATAGAGGTATGGTCTTTTCTAAAATACTTTTAGAACCATTGCATTGAGTTTATCTGTGGTTTATCTTACTCTAAACTGAACTTACTATTCTAATACAAGAGGTTTATAGTATTTTTATTAATTATTTTTTAGATTCTTGTTGAGAAAAGGAAAACAAATAGTAAGAATTAAAAAATAAGATATAAATCTATTTTTAAATTTTTGCTGTGCTGTTTTTCTGTTTCAGTTACCTAGAAAAGTACGAGAAAGTTCATCATTTTGGGGAGGATGATGATGAGGTACCACCAGGCAATCCAAAGCCACAGCTTCCTATTGGTGCAATTCCATCTTCCTACAATTACCAGCAACACAGTGTGTCAGGTAAGTATCACTGAAAATTAACGAGGTTTTGAATTAGGAAAACAGACATCATTCAATGAATTAGTCCCTTCCTTTTGCACATGAGAATTCTCAAGCCCTTTCTATCATAGCTTGCTTGAGAATTTTAGGTGCGGGAATTTTTAGTTATAAAATACTTTCACTTTCAAGTAATGATTTTTTTTCCTTTGACCAGTGATCAATTTATCCTAAATAGTCACTAAAATAAGAAGAGAAAGATCCTGTTAGGATTCAAGAGATCAAGAATTTTCTTATAGAATCTATTCAGTTTTCTAATATTAATGAGATTTCCAGCACCAGAATTCTCAGAAATGTTTCTGATTACTCTATTTTCCTGCCATGGTAGCAGGAAGATTTTTTTTTTTTTTACTTGTCATTTTTGTAATGGTTATAGAGGAATCCACAGCTTGAAAAGAGCTGGACTCAAACTGGAAAAAGTCAACCCGAGTGTTGATATTTCTTGAGTGGAGTAGACAGGGGTTCCAGTTTTTAGTGGCTCTGGAGGTTAGGACCGTGATGACTAGGAAGAGAGGTCTAAGTGAGGAAATGTATTCTCTTTCTGGGTGCATGATGGGGCCTAGTTTTAAGGGCAAGAATTTTGCAGTGCACTGCCCCCCTCCCATCTCTCCACCCAGGAGATTTAAGGGTTTATGTTTGAATTTCGAGGGTGCGGGAAGAAACCTAACAGTCAGTCACCCCAGTGGAAGTTTAAAGGGACTCCTTTCATTGGCCAGAGGAACTTGGGAAGGTGGGAATTTCTCCCAGGATAAATTCCCCAGCTCCTTCACCCACACTAGATTTCCAGCTCTCTGAAATCCCCTCCCAGCATGGTGGGAGCTCCCTTTCCTCTCTGGGATTTCCCCTCTGAAAACCCCTTCCACAATCTTAGTGGAAGTCTTTGTCTTCTTCTCTTTTCTCTACCTAAATAAAATCACCTTTCTGCAACACTTCTTGGGTAGATATTTACTTTTAGGAGTGTACAGCGTACCTGCAGTGGTTCCATCGCTTATTTTATTTTATTTTTTTGAGACAGAGTCTTGCTCTGTTGCCAGGTGCCAGGCTGGAGTGCAGTGGCACGATCTCGGCTCATTGCAACCTCCGCCTCTCAGGTTCAAGCAGTTCTCCTGCCTCAGCCTCCCGAGTAGCTGGGCCACCCCGCCCAGCTAATTTTTGTATTTTTAGTAGAGATGGGGTTTCACCATGTTGGCCAGGATAGTCTTGATCTCTTGACCTCGTGATCCGCCTGCCTTGGCCTCCACAAGTGCTGGGATTATAGGTGTGAGCCACCACTACCAGCCCTATCGCTTATTCTCTAAGAGGTTGGAGACCAAGAACCCACTGCATTCTCTCCGGGGAGCTGTGCCTCACCAGCCCCCAAGAAAAAACCCAACCAGTTACATAAGGAGATACACATCTTTGTTTTTTCCACTCATCAACATTTGACCTAAATAAAAAAGGAGATATTTCTTTTTCAAGGTATGTTCTTTATAAAAATACCATTATTCTAAATATTTACTATTATTATTTACTGGTACTAGTTCTATACTTTTACAGGTTATACTTAGATTTATGTGGTCTCATTTGTGGAGTATCATTAGTATCATCAACTTTTTTTTTCACATTATTTTTTTTCAAAGTTTCTTAAAAGTTGAATTTGACTTCATGATTCTTCCCTAATTAGTAGTAACTGAAGAAATAGAATCTTCTCTTAGAATCTATCATCTCCATTAGGCTTCATCTGATGCTTTTGTATAATTGAGGTAGGGGTGAAACAGGGAGTGCCAACCAAACCTAGCTTTATTTTTAATGAATTGCTTTTATTGCAAGAGCCAAGACTAAAGGAAAATATTGTAAGTCACCTTTAGAAATGCTTGCTAATAGTTTATGCTGATAAGATAAAATGGAGTGACTTGTTAGGTGATATACTCCTTGTTTCTAAAAAGAGCTAATGACCATTATCTAATTCAAGGATGTTATAAAAGATATTCCTACATTGAATGAGATGTACTAATGACCTTTAAAGATGATTTTCAACTTACAACTCTGTGTGATTTCTGTGTTACAGTAACAGCAGAGCTGTTTATCCTTGTAGCTTAAATAGAGTTTGATGTCTGCTACTACAGTTTCCAAAAAAACATTTTCTATGTTTGGTCTTGTTTAAAATAGATTTTTTTCTGAATCTGTTTTTTCCCCCCTTTTCTAGTTAAAATTGATCTGCTTTAAGAAAGATCATGTGAAATAGTTTTGGTATTTCAGAAGCCTATAATGAAACTTATTGATAAAGCTACACAAATTACAGGAATGATAGAATTGCTTAACCTATTGTTTTAACAACCCTTTTCTGATATGCTATTATATGTCTGATTTGTTTTAAGAAAATCTAAACAGTTATGTAATATATGTAACATGTTTAACAAAGTCAGGATTGGAGATTCATGAAGAGGAGGAAACTGGTAACTGATGGGGAACATCAGATTACAGAATATCTAATTCAAACTTAAAAGGGGTAGTGTTTCAGGGCAGCATTTAAATTTTGTATTTTTCTAGAAAGAGCCATAGCAACATCATTGACAGTATTCTTAAAATTGACATGATTATCAATATATAAAGCAAATAAGTCATTAATGATTTTTATCATGTGTGAGTAAGGAAAATAGAGCAAGCTCCATGTGTGTGTATGTGTATGCATGCATGTGTTCTAAAATTAAAAAAAAAAACCATCAAAATGAAATTATCTTAGATTTTTAAAAAAACTTTATTTAGAACTTTGAAAAGATTTATGTCTGTCTACATCTTTGATCATACAGCCTTATTCCCCTTGTAGCTTTGGATAAAAGTATTTATCCAGATACTTTTATTGTTGAAATAAAGAAAAACTATTCTAAAATATTTTGAATGGTAGTATAATAAATTTCAGTGTCAGTAGTGCTAGATATAGAACATCGTACACTGATAGAATGTGGGCCTGAATTTGCCTTTGAGGATATTGACTACTTTTGCCCAATGACTTTAAATGGCAAAAAAATAATTGTGGATTTTGCTTTCAGCTTTAGGATTCTTCAACATTGGCATCAGTACCTGGTGGTTTTTTTGTCATTCATTTGCATAGTTTTTCATACTGTTTTTGACATTAAATACCTGATGTATTGGTTTCCTTCTTTCTCTTTTTTTTCTTTGTATTGATTGGATACAGTCATTTCTGCAAAATTATTGGGTGGATTATCATTTTTTTGTTATTATTTAATCCAACTTAATCATTTTAATAAAGGGAAGTGAAGTACCCTGTCCATTTGCATTTTTGGTTTTGGCTTTCATGCAGGAAGATATAAAAATTTTTTGCCGTGCAGAAGCTGTGGAGTTTGATAAGGTCCCATTTGTCTGTTTTGGCTTTTGTTGCCAATGCTTTTGGTGTTTTGGTCATGAAGTCCTTGCCTACTCGTAGGTCCTGAATGGTTTTGCCTAGATTTTCTTCTAGGGTTTTTATGGTGCCAGGTCTTATGTTTAAGTCTTTAATCCATCTGGGGTTAATTTTAGTGTAAGGTGTCAGGAAGGGGTCCAGTTTCTGCTTCCTGCACATGGCTAGCTGGTTTTCCCAACACCATTTATTAAATAGGGAATCCTTTCCCCATTGCTTGTTTTTGTCAGGTTTATCAAAGATTGTATGGTTGTAGATATATTGTGTTGCCTCCAATGCCTTTGTTTTGTTCCATTGTTCTGGAGTGAATTGGCAACCAACAGAATGGGAAAAAATGTTTGCAGTTTACCCATCTGACAAAGGGCTGATATCCAGAATTTACAAAGAACTCAAACAGATTTACAAGAAAAAAACAAACAAGCCCATTCAAAAATGGGCAAAGGATATGAACAGACACTTTACAAAAGAAGACATACATGTGGCCAACAAACATGAAGAAATGCTCATCATCACTGGTCATTAGAGTGATGCAAATCAAAACCACATTGAGATACCATCTCACGCCAGTTAGAATGGCGATCATTAAAAAATCTGGAGACAACAGATGCTGGAGAGGATGTGGAGAAATAGGAACACTTCTACACTGCTGGTGGGAGTGTAAATTAGTTCAACCATTGTGGAAGACAGTATGGCGATTTCAAAAGGCCTTGGAAATAGAAATTCCATTTGACCCAGCAATCCCATTACTGGGTATATATCCAAAGGATTATAAATCGTTCTACTATAAGGACACATGCACACGAATGTTCATTGCAGCAGTGTTTACAATAGCAAAGACCTGGAACCAATTCAAATGCCCATCGATGATAGACTGGACTGGGAAAATGTGGCACATATACACCATGGAATATTATGCAGCAATCAAAAATGATGAGTTTGTGTCCTTTGTAGGGACATGGATGAATCTGGAGAACATCATTCTCAGCAAACTGACACAAGAACAGAAAATGGAATACCGCATATTCTTACTCATAGGCGGGTGATGAACAATGAGAACACATGGACACAGGGAAGGGAGCACTACACACTGGGATCTGTTGGGGGTAATAGGGGAGGGACAGCGGTGGGGGGAGCTGGGGAGGGATAGCATGGGGAGAAATGCCAAATGTGGGTGAAGGGGAGGAAGGCAGCAAAACACACTGCCATGTGTGTAACTATGCAACTATCTTGCATGTTCTGCACATGTACCCCAAAACCTAAAATGCAATTAAAAAAAAAAATTTTATTAGCTATATTTGAATAAAGATTTTCTTTAAGTGTTACACATGCTAACAGACTTTGGAGTACAACAATCACTGCCAATATTGATGGACAGAATATATTGCAGAATTTCTACAGTGTATATAAACATCAGTCCAGAACAAATCTTCCTTTCTTCTAAATTGAAAACAGAGAAGTGACTGCCTCAGATTAAATTTGTCAGTAGTGACCCAGGGTATAAACTTTGAATCAAGAATGTTGAAAATATGGCCGGGTGCAGTGGCTCATGCCTGTAATCCCAACACTTTGAGAGACTGAGGCTGGTGGATCACCTGAGGTCAAGCGTTCAAGAGCAGCTTGGCCAACGTGGTGAAACTGTCTCTACTAAAAATACAAAAATTAGCTGTGTGTGGTGTTGCACACCTGTAATCCCTGCTCTCAGGAGGCTGAGGCAGGAGAATTGCTTGAACTCAGGAGGTGGAGGTTGTAGTGAGCCAAAATCACACCATAGCACTCCAGTAGCCTGGGCAACAGAGCAACACTCTGTCTCAAAATAAATAAATTTTCAATCTCATTCCAGGTATAAAATTATAGCTACTCAACCATATCTCCTTGAGGGAATGAAAGGGGAATCTAAAAATTTTGTAAGCATTTTCTCCTACATAATTATCGTAGTAATCTTTACCAAGCTTTATATAATTATATTTCGTAATTGTTATGTTTATTTATCTTATTCTAATTGAAGATGTCTTTAACAAAGACATTCAGGTAATGATGCATTGAATGGAGTATCTGTCATTGTACAGTAGGAAGTAGAACAATTCTAAGATCATATTGAAAACATATAAGCTTCAGGACTGTGACAGATAAAGAATATGAGTTCCACATTTTTTTATGTTCAGATTTACCTGAAAGCTATGTGGAATCTAAAAACTTAAATTAATTATTGCTAAAACTTGGTTTAATCATCATTAATTCCAGTTTGCAGTATAAAATGTAAAAATTGCTCCTATATTCATAGAAGTTTCACTACTTTTTCTTCAGATATTTATTTTGTGTTTTTTGAGAAATTTTATTTATAAGGATTATCAAACATGGACAATCTATTCTTTTTGTACAGCTTTAAATATTGTAAAGAATCTGTGTCATAACCATTTATAACTTTGTTGTGGAATTTCTTCCTTATGATGGAGACACTTCTAGAATAGTTTAGGATCGAAGAGCTGTGTCTTTTCAACTGTATTTGGAAATGAAATTCTATACTTAACATAATTTTCTTCTCTGGTATGTTGCGACAGATTTCTATTTGCATGCTCTTTAAAGAGCTTATGTTTTTGTTTGTTTGTTTGTTTGTTGTTTTGAGACAGAATCTCGCACTGTCTCCTAGGCTGTACTGCAGGGGATAGCGGCTCACTGCAGTCTCTGCCTTCTGGGTTCAAGCAATTCTCCTGCCTCAGCCTACCGAGTATCTGGGACTACAGATGTGCACCACCATGCCCAGCTAATTTTTTTGTATTTTTGACAGGGTTTCAACATGTTGGCCAGGATGATATCGATTTCCTGAACTCATGATCCTCCCAGCCTGAAATATTCTTAAATGTTTAAATTTTAGTTTTTTGCCTTTTTCCGTAACTTGTTACAGCTTTATTTGAAAAATGTACTTCTAATATTTATCTCAGGACATAATTGCCAGTGTCTAAACTGCCCAAGTTAGGATTCAGTATTTCTAAAAATGCAGCATTTTTTATATGTGTGAATTATGATTATACAGTATCTTAGTGTTCTATAAGCCCATTTTGTCCCATCTTCAAAGTTTTGTAGAAGTTTTAATTCTCCTGTGGAAAATCTTAGTTGCTTTGGTTTAGGCACAGATTTCTTAGGGCACAAAAACATGAACCATAAAAGTAAATATTTATAACTCAGACTTCATCAAAATTAAAATGTTTGCTTAAAGACACTTAAAGAAAATGAAAAGACAAGCCACTAAGGGAGAAAATATGTGCAAAGCAAATATGAAACAAAGGACTCATTTAGAGCATTTAGAACTAACAATATTAAGTACTGTCCAGGATAGAGAGCAGTAGGAACTCTGTGTATTGCTGATGGAAATGCAAGCTGTTACAGCCACTTTGGAAAACAGTTTCACAGTTTCTTACAAAGTTAAGGATACATTTATGTGTGACCCACACTTCTAGGTATCTATACAAGAGAAGTGAGTAAAATATATCCCCACAAAAATTCTATCTATGTTTACAGGGAGATTTATTAGTACTCACCAAAAATTGGAAATAGTCTACATGTCCCTCAACTAGGGAATGGATAAACAAACTGAGTTTAAAAAGGTATGGACTACTGATGTACACATCAACATAGATATGAATCTCAAGAGCATTTTGCCAAATAAAAGAAACCAGACAACAAAAGGCTATACTGTGTGATTCCATTTATTTGGCATTTTGAGATAAAATGATAGGAAAGGAAATTTCATTTGTGGTACCTAGTGGTAGGGGATGGAATTGACTACAAGGAGTGTGAGAAACTTTTTGTAGTGATAGAAATGCTCTATATCTTGACTGTGATGATTAAAACTATACATTTGTCAAAACTTAGAATTCCAGAACTAAAATTAGCATGGCTTTTACTGTGTTATGATATTGCAGTAATTTGGAACACATCCTTTGAAATGCAGTAGTAAAAAGTGTAGGTTAGTCTGGGCACAGGGCTCATGCCTGTAATGCAGCACTTTGGGAGGCTACAGCAGGAGGATTACATTAGCTCAGTAGATGGAGACCTGCTGGGCAATGTAGAGAGACCTGTCTCTCCTAAAAATAAAATTAGCTGGACATAGTGGTGACTTCCTGTAGTCCTAGCTACTCAGGAGGCTGAGGGGGATCACTTGAGCCTGGGAGATTGAGGCTGCAGTGAGCTATAATTGCAACATTGTACTCTATCCTGGGCAACAGAGTAAGACACTGTCTCAAAAAATAAAAAAAGTGAAGATAGGTCAATTAAAATACTGATTCAGAAATATTTTGGCAACGATGGCCAAATGGTATATATATTTTGGTATTTTAATACCTTTTCAAGAATGTAATTTTAATGATTAGTAAACCTAATAAGTTTAGAAAGTTGAACTTTTGAACCTCTAATCAGTATATATTATATATATATTTAAAGCTGCCTTCTATATTCAAGGGATATTCACCATAGAGGTATCTGATCTTTGATATACTTAAGGTGTTCTTTTTTCTTTGTTAGACTATCTGCGTCAAAGTTATGGGCTGTCTATGGACTTTAATTCGCCAAATGATTATAATAAATTGGTGCTTTCACTGTTATCTGGACTCCCAAATGAAGTGGACTTTGCTATTAATGTATGCACTCTCCTATCAAATGAAAGCAAGCACGTCATGCAACTTGAAAAAGATCCTAAAATCATCACTTTACTACTTGCTAATGCCGGGGTGTTTGACGACAGTAAGTTTTAAGCTGAATGTATTATATAATTATTCTGTAAAAGTTTTTTTAAAAGGTTTTTTAAGGAGAAAGTACTTTTTGTCAATATAATAGCTTCCTTTATTTTCTCTTTTGATATTAAATGCATTATTTAAAAGAATGAATGTTTGGGGTTTTTTAACCTTAAATCTTAGAATAGTAATTTTGTCTCAATGTTTTTGAAGTAGAAGTCCTGGTTTTTAAATTGGAGTAATATATAGGTTTCCTGAGTTGAGAAGATTGCTTGCTACAAGATTCTGACAAAGAAAACTAGGATCTGGAAGAAATTGTTTTTTGAAGTCTATTTCTGCTAATGGGTGACTGTAATTTTTAACTAAAACATTTGAGGTCAATGCATTTGAAAATTTGCCTTCTAAATAATCAAAGTAAGGTTTATCAAAGGCTTCTTATCATTTTTACTTGTAGGGTTTAATTGTGGGTTTTGATAAATCAAATACTTCATCTCTTCGGAAATTATCTCTTATTAAGGCTAGGTTACCACATAGATCAGATTAGTTTGTTTTCTCTTGCAGTTTAATACAGAGATTAGAAATAATATTTTGAAATCTTTCCCCTCTCAGTTTTTCTTGCGTAAAATATATATGTTAGCTGAAGTTATTGATATTATTTCTTGCTTTCCGATTCCCCCACTCCAACGCTATTTTTTTACCGGAAGTATATCCTATTAAAGTATATGGTATTGATATATGTTGAAAGTATTTTATCTTTTAGGAAATTATATATATAGCACAGTAAACAGAGTCTTTGTAAGAACTTGTTATAACATTTTATGACTTTTTGTTTTTATCTTTAAATAGTGAGATGTTTGCAAAAGAATTTTTTTTTGCAATTTGATTTGGGTCAAGTAGTGTTTTATTTGTATTGTTTAAGTAGGATTCTTTGAAATTTGACACATATTTTACATTGAAAATAATTTTGAAATTAAATAAAATAAAAATTAGTTTCTTAACTTGCCCAGAACTATTCTTGGTTACATGGGTGGAGATAGGGGAAGAAAGATGCTTTACCTCTTAGTTTCTGTTATAATTTTGAAGATGTAACTTTGTTGACTTTTCACCTCAGTTTTATATTCTTTGATTTCTGTTATTTTATTTTGATCTTTCAAATATAACTTTCAGCATTTAATGTAGAACGGAGTTGAAAATTGTTTCACATTTTTAGAAACCTTAAAATGAAGCCTTCGAAAAGGATGTATATTCTCAAACCAGAATAATTTTAAGTCATAACATTTAATGATTACATATTACATGTAAATAATTTAAGTTGAGTATGTGATAGAAGTAATCTTACCAGTTTTGGTGCACTAAGACAAGACTTCTTTAGACCCAATTTATCTTCATGAATTCTTCAGGCATTTTATTTGTTTGAAAGACTAAAAGTAATGTAAAAAGTGTTAATTTAGCAAATGCCATTTGGATATAGTTTCTATTATTTGAAGTCACAGAAAGTTTAGTTCCAGAGTACATAGAGACTTTATGAAGACCTTATATTTAAAACAGTAGTTTTACATAATAAAAATAATCCTGGTTGGAGTTTGAAGGTTGTAGATATATTTTCTTTGGTTAGACTTTGAGAGGCTTTGATTTGATTTTTAGGGCATGAGACTTTAAGAGAGAAATGTAGATGCCACTTCCTTTAGAAAGTAGAATATTTACATATTTTGTGTGTTTGAACAAGTATAATAAAAATTCTATGTGACAAGAAATTTTATTTTTCAATTTTATGATTCTGCCCAGTATTATTCTCCCAGGAATGTTGTTTGCTTGGTGGTTTTTTTTTTGGTGGCGGTGGGCGGTGGGTGGGGGGGGGTGGTGGTGTTTTGGGAGGTTTTTTTTTTTTTTTTTTTTTTTTTTGGAGACAAGAGTCTTGCTGTGTCCCCCAGGCTGGAATACAGTGGTGCTATATTGGCCCACTACAACCTCCCCTTCCCAGGTTTGAACGATTCTCACGCCTTAGCCTCCCAGTTAGCCACAGGCAAGCGCCACCACACCTGGCTAATTTTTGTATTTTTGGTAGAGACAGGTTTTCCTCAGGTTGACTAGGCCATTCTCAAACTCCTGGCCTCAAGTGATCTGCCCGCCTCAACCTTCTAGAATGCTGGGGGATTACAAGTCTGAGCCACCATGCCTAGCCCCCAGGGAAGTTTTTTTTAAGCTTTTTTTTTAGAACAAAGAAAACCTTATCTGTCTTTAGTGGTGTCTGGGCCTCATTTTGCTGGTTAAGCTGCTACTTATATGTAAGTTTGATATTTTATGAAATTTTTTTTGATGTCACTATAGTTAATTTGTTTATTCAGAACATTTACATCTGTTGTTCATATTATTTCCTCATGACGCTAATGTCAGTAGTGAAATCATTAGTAAATATAATTTATGTTTAAAATGTTGCTGTTTCTCACCCTTTTAAATATTTTTTAAGATGAAAATTTTTATTCTAGCTAGAGTACTTTACAAATTTGATTTTATTCAGTTTTAACTACATATTGCATTCATACTTAAAGGATAATAAGACCGCCAATATTCCGTAAATGTCTTATGGGAGAAAACATACCTACTTATTATGCTTGTCATAACATGTCCAATAAGGACACATAAACTTTTGTTTTTTTTAAAGATTAACATTCATAACATCTAGTTTTTCTGTTAACAGTGTCATTCTATAATTTTCTTTTTGTTTTCTAAAAGCAGTAGCTTTCATTATGGAATTAATGTGATAGTTCATAAAAGATTTACCCAATTTTTAGGCCGGGCGCGGTGGCTCAAGCCTGTAATCCCAGCACTTTGGGAGGCCGAGGCGAGTGGATCACGAGGTCAAGAGATTGAGACCATCCTGGTCAACATGGTGAAACCCCATCTCTACTAAAAATACAAAAAATTAGCTGGGCATGGTGGCGCGTGCCTGTAATACCAGGTACTCAGGAGGCTGAGGCAGGAGAATTGCCTGAACCCAGGAGGCAGAGGTTGTGGTGAGCCGAGATCGCGCCATTGCACTCCAGCCTGGGTAACAAGAGTGAAACTACATCTCAAAAAAAAAAAAAAATTTACCTAATTTTTAAGGGGAAAACATACTGTATCACAGCTTAAACATTTGAATCACACAGTGCTATAGTCTGATCCCATATTGACAATTAGAACTAGCAGCATAAAGGAGAAGAAATAATGGAGTATGTACCTATCTATATGCCTTAAGCTTTTTGGTGAAGCAGTAAGGGCCACATGTGGATTAGAGGCAGACTGTTATTAAGAAAAAGCTTACAAAAATTGATGGTTTGACTTTTCAAAAATCATAGTTATTGATAAAACAACCTTATCAAGAAACACAAACATGATGTAGGCCCAAGAATTTTTCTTAAAGGAGATTTAAGGGAATTGTGGGAATTATTTTAAAGAAGTGCCTTGCTGTCTCTGTTTTTTGAAGTGTGAATTACACAAGTATTTCTGAAATTAATATGAAGATTTTAAATGATAATCTGAAAATCTAATGGCAATAACATCAGTTGTATTTAAAAAAAATTTTTTTAATGTATCAATTAAAGCCAATGTGGAGTAACTCTTAAGTACTCAGCACTTCTTTATTGTCTATATAACTGTTATGAAAGAGTCCTTATTGTTAATTTGTAGGAACACAAATTTTCTTTTCTAAAAAAATGTATTTCAAAGGAAATAACGTGACTATCATTTACTGTAAGACAATTTGTAATTAACATGGTATATTAAGATGTAGTTTTACTGTTTTTCCAAGCCTACCTATTATTAAATAATTCATTGAAAGAATTTATTGCATTATATTGAATGTATTTTTTTTTAAGCTTTAGGATCCTTTTCCACTGTATTTGGAGAAGAATGGAAAGAGAAGACTGATAGAGACTTTGTTAAGGTAAATCATTTCAATTAAAATGTTGAATCATTGAGTTAACATGTAGCTAAGCCAACAATAGATTAGTGGTTGTTTATCTTATATACATAAAATATACTTTCATCTTTACCTAATACATATGCAACAGTTTTTATACAATACAATACAGTTTTTAAAGTTGTGATTGAGTTGAGTAAAAAATCTTTTAGAATACCCAGGAACAGACATAAAATTCTCATTGATATCTCTGAATAGTAACTTATAACAATAGCAGTAAACAATTGAATGACCCTCTTCTCAACTGGGAATCTGAGAATGGGTTTTAGGAACTTTCTGTTTTTATGTGTGTTCTGAAACTCAGCAATTCAGAAAGGAATGAATGGCCAGACCTGCCATCAAATCCTCAAAAAGAATCAGTCTAAAAGATTAGTAAGTGTCCATCTAGAAGAAAATTTCTGGGAATATATTAGTGAAACAAGTGTAATTGTGAATTTCAAGTGAGAAACTAGAAAAAGACTTGAACAAATTGTTTTCTCACTTACATTTGTCTAACTCTACTGTCTTTTAAGGAAGTATAGGATGCTGCTTTTATTTACTAAGGGTACATTTTATAGTGTTACTACTAATAGAGCATGCACATTAAACATTGTTTAAATACCTTTTCTTTAAAACTCATACATGAGTAACATTTAAATATGATTACTCTTCATTTTTGCTGCTACTTCCACTAAAATATCTAAATCTATCCACTTTGTTTATTAAAAGTAGCTCTCTTGGGCTGGGTGTGGTAGCTCACACCTGTATCTCAGCACTTTAGGAGGCTGAGATGGGGAAATTGCTTGAAGCCTGGAGTTCAAGACAAGCCTGAGCAACAAAGCTAGACCCCATTCCTACAAAATATATGTATATATATTTTTTACTTCATTATGCAAAATATTAAATAATTAGCTAGGTATGGTTGTTTGTGCTTGTAGTCCCAGCTACTAGGGAGGCTGAGCTGGGAGGATTGCTTGAGCCTGGAAATTTGAGGCTGCAGTGAGCTATAATTGTGCCACTGTACTCTAGTCTGGGTGACAGAGCAAGATCCTATCTCTAAAATCGATAGATAAATCAATAAAAATAAATAAAAAAATAAAATGATACCATGGTGTTTTAGAGAACTACTTTATATTTTTTTTTCATTTTTTTACTGGTGTTTTATGAATCACTTAAATATTAAAAATTAGTTGTCAAAATTTTGATATTGTTCAGACAAAATAGACTGAGTCACAAAACAAAGAGACAAAAAAGATAATTGCATAATGAAGAAGAGGATCAATGCAGCAAAAGAATGGGTGTAACATCATATATGTAATCAACACTAGAGCCCCCAGATATATAAAGCAAATATTAATAGAGCTAAAAAGAGATAGACCCCAATACAATTATAGTTGGGGACTTACCCACTTTCAGCATTGGACAAATCATCGAGATAGAGAATCAGTTAAAATAAAATCAATACTTAATCTGCACTGTGGACCAGCTTAACCTGAGACATTTATAGACTATTTTATCCAACAACTGCGGAATATACATTCTTCTCATCAGCACATGGGACATTCTCTGGGATAGAACATACAGTAGGCCACAACACAATCTCAACAAATGTTTAAAAATTATAAAATCGTATCAAGTGTCTTCTTTTATCGCAATGGAATAAAAGCAGAAATAAGAGGAACTTTGGAAACTGGAACTATTAATACAAGAAGATTAACGTGCTCCTGAATGACCATTGGGGGTCAATGAAGAAGTTAAGAAGGAAATTTAAAAATTTCATGAAACGGAAGAAAATGGAAACACAACATCCCAAAACCTATTGGATACAGCAAAAGCAGTCCTAAAAAGGAAGCTTATAGCAATAAATGGCTACATCAAAAAAGTAGAAAGATTTCAAATAAACAACATAATGACGCACCTTAAGGAACTAGAAAAGCAAACCAAACCCAAAATTAACAGAGGAAAGAAATTGTAAAGATCAGAGCAGAACTAATTGGAATGGAGACTAAAAAGACAAAGGATCAACAAAACAAAAAGTTGTTTTTTGATAAGATAAACAAAATTGATAAACCACTAGCTAGCATAGCCCAGAAAAAAAGAGAGAAGGCTCAAAGTCAGGAGCATAAAAGGAGACATTACAGCTGATAACCACCTAAATAAATATAAAGGATCATTAGAGACTATGAGGAACTGTTATACTAATGAATTGGAAAACCTAGAAAAAAACAGATAAGTACTTGGACACATACAGCCTATCAAGATTGAACCAGTAAGAAATAGAAAGCCTCAACAGACCAATAAAGAGTAACAAAATTGAATTAGTAATAAAAAGTCTCCCAACAAAGAAAAGTCCGTGATCGAATGACTTATGGCAGAATTCTTCCAAACTTACAAAAAAGAGGCCAGGTGCAGTGGCTCATGCCTGTAATCCCAGCCCTTTGGGAGGCTGAGGCGGGTGGATCACGAGGTTAAGAGATCGAGACCATCCTGGTCAACATGGCGAAACCCTGTCTCTACTAAAAATACAAAAAATTAGCTGGGCATGATGGTGCGTGCCGATAATCCCAGCTACTCAGGAGGCTGAGGCAGGAGAATTGCCTGAACCCAGGACGCGGAGGTTGTGGTGAGCTGAGATCACGCCATTGCACTCCAGCCTGGGTAACAAGAGCGAAACTCCGTCTCAAAAAGAAAAAACAAACAAGAAATAACGCCAGTTCTTCTCAAACTATTACAAAATTCTGAAGAGGAAAGAACTCTTCTTAACTCATTCTTTGAGGCCAACACTACTCTGATACCAAAACCAGGCAAGGACACAACAGAAAAAGAAAACTACTCTGATGAACATAGTTGCAAAAATTCTCAACAAAATGCTAGCAAACCAAATCCAGTAACACATCAAAAAAAAACAATGCACCATCATTAAGCTGGATTTATCCCAGGGATGTAAGGATGATTCAACATAGGCAAATCAATAAATGTGAAACATCGCATTAGCAGAATGAAGGACAAAAATCATATGATCATCTCAGTTGTAGATTTGTCATATATGGCTTTTATTGTTTTGAGGTATGTTTCTTCTGTGCCTAATTTCTTGAGAGTTTTTATGAAGAAGTAGTGCTAAATTTTATCAAATACTTTTTTTGCATCTTTTGAGATAATCATCATACCAAATGGGGGAAAAGCTGAAAGCCTTTCCTCAATAAACTGGACTAAGACGAGGACACTCACTTTCACCACTCTCATTCAACATTGTACTGGAAGTCCTAGCCAGAGCAATCAAGCAAGAGAAAAGAATAAAACTTGAGTAAAGTTACAGGATACACTTAATAAAAGAAGACATACAAATGGCCAAAATATATATGAAAAATTGTTCAACATCACTAATCATCAGGAAAACGTAAATGAGAACCCCAATGAGATATCATTATCATCTCTCCCCAATTAGAATGGCTGTTATCCGAAAGGCAAAAAAATAACAAATGCTGGTAATAATGTGATTAAAAGAGAACTCATACACTGTTGGTGGAAATGTAATTAGTACAGCCATTATGAAAAACAGTATCCCACTACTGGATATTTATTCAAAGGAGAGGAAATAGTATAGCAAAGGGATACCTGTGCCTCCAATGGATTGCAGCATTATTCACAATACCCAAGATAAGAAATTGATTGAAGTATCCAGTAACAGATGAATGAATAAAGTTGTATACAATGAAATACTATGCAGCCCTAAAAGGAAATTGTGCTATTTGTAGCAACATGGATGGAACTGGAGGTCATTATTTTAAATGAAATAACCCAGGCACAGAACGATAAATATTTCACGTTCTCACTCATATGTGGGAGCTGAACTTGTTGATATTGTGGAGGTAGAGTAGATTGGTGGTTACTAGAGGCTAGGGAGGGTGAGAGGGTGATATACAAAGAGAAATTGGCTAATGGGTACAAATACCTAGTTAGACAGAAAGAATGAATAATAAATTGTAGTGTTTTATAGGATAGTAGCATGACTATAGTTATAAATAGTTTGTATTTCAAAATAGAAGAATTGAAATGTTCCCAACACAAAGAAATGATAAATATATGAGGTGATGGATATTTCAAATGCCATTATTTGATTTAATACATTGTATGCATGTATTAAAATATCATATGCACTCCCTAAGTACATACAGTTGTTATGTGTTTACAGAATTTGTTATTTAGCTGTCTTGCGGATAAAAGAGAGTCATTTTAGGAAATAGTAACTGTTAAGTAGTGTTAAGATTTTTCTAGTGGCATTTTACCTTTTTTTTATTGCTAGATTTTAGGTTTATTTAACAACAGCTGCTAATAATAAGCTTCAACTAATCAAAATCTTTATTCTTTAGCAGTCTATTTTAAGTATTATAAATTGTCTTAATACATCGAGACTTATTTGACAGTTTTGGAGACCAAGTAAGGAGGATTGGTTGAGGCCAAGAGTTCAAGACCAGCCTGGGCAACATAATGAGACCCCATCTCTACAAATAAAAAAAATAATTAGTTGGGCATGGTGGTGCATGATTGTAGTTCCAGCTACTTGGGAGGCTGAGGCAGGAGGATCACTTGAGCTCTGGAGTTAGAGGCTGCAGTGAGCTATGATTGTGCCACTGTACTCCACCATGGGTGATAAAGCAAGACAATTTTTAAGGAAAAAAAAGACGGAAGAATATATATTCTGTTTATTTGGGATGGAGAGTTCTGTAGATGTGTATTAGGTCTGCTTAGTCCAGCCCTGAGTTCAAGTCCTAGATTTCCTAGTTAATTTTCTATCTTGTTCATCTGTCTAATATTGACAGTGGAGTATTAAAGTTTCTCACTGTTATTGTGTGGGACTCTAAGTCTCTTTGTAGTCATTAAGAACTTGCTTTATGTATCTGAGTGCTCCTGTATTGGGTGCATATGTATTTAGGATAGTTAGCTCTTCTTGTTGCATTGATACCTTTACCATTATATAATACCCT